TTCAATATCTTCATCAATGATCTGGAAGTTAGGATGGAGTGCACCCTCAGCAAGTTTGCAGATGACACCAAACTGAGAGGAGTAGTAGATACAGTGGAAGGTTGAGCTAGGATTCAGAGAGACCTCCAAAAATTGGAGGACTGGACCAAAAGAAATCTCATGAGGTTCAATAAAGACAAGTGCGAATTCTTGTACTTAGGACAGAACAATTCAGATTGGGGACCGACTGGCTAAACAGCAGCTCTACAGAAAAGAACCTGGCATTACAGTGAAAAATAAGCTGGATATGAGTCAACAGTGTGCCCTTGTTGTGAAGAAGCCTAATGCATACTGGGTTGAATTAGTAGGAGCGTTGCCAGCAGATTGAGGGAATCAATTATTCCACTCTATTCTGCACTGGTGAGGCCACATCTGGAGTACTGTGTTCAATTTTGGGCTTGATCTATTTTACTGGGTGACATCTGTTTTTAACCTAAGAGAGCTGGCACAAAGTCACCAGTTATGTAAGTCCTGAAGAACTTATTGCAAGGTTTGGTGCCGGAGAGCAAGCTAAGGTAGGTCAGGCTCTTCCTTTTGTGCACAAGCCAATATTTGCTGTACATTGAAGGTTGTATTGTCTCCAAATCTGTGAAAATGCCACATTTGCAGAAGGAAAAGAACGAAAACTCTGAAGAGTATAGTGAGACCAAGCACTAGGAGCTCCTTTGCTTTGTGCAGCTGCTTTTGACTTAAAGATCAGCATGGAATGATGAATGAGGAAAGAGGAAATATAGCAAGTACTCATAAAATGTGTGTTTCAGGATGGTCATGCATATGCAAACATATTAAATTCAATTATACTCCAGATGGATTTTTCACCCCCATACAACACTTACCCAGTCATTCCAGGTGCCTTTTGGATTCTTGCTTATAATGGGCTGCAGGCGTTTCAGAAGGGTCTGACAAGCGTCCTGGTGAAGAGAACAGTTTGTGAAATAGTGCTAAAGAGATCATTAGATATTTGTTGGTATTTAGTAGAACCCTAGCTACATTTCCCTGTAGCCATTATGGCACTCACAGTAGACAATGCCTCTGAATGCAAATCCTATTGCATGGGGCCAGGCACTGGACAATAGGGCGTTTCTGCTGGGACTGTGAAGAGCACTCATTTGCAGCTGAAAGTCATTATTCCCTACTGAACTTCAAACCGCTACCTGTCTTCTTGTTAAACACAAACAATCAGCTTTTTCTAAGACTTCTGTCATCTCTTAACTGCTTGCAGCCACCCAAACATACCACCTCCAGAGTGAATCTGAGGGGAAAAAAAATTGGATTCTTCCTAAAGCCAATCTTTTGGGGCCAGGCATTTTTAATATTTATAAGAAATCACATTAATCTCATCAATTGAGATGGGTTACCTTCAAAAACTCAGAACAACCTCCCACATGTTTCTACCAGGCGTACTGGGTGAAGTGATGGTACCTGTAGGAGTTGACCATAGGCCTAGTTCCCAATTACTACTTTCAAGGCCCCTGGAGACCAAGGCAGCCTCAGAAGGATTCTCCCAAGCATCCCCCACAGTGTACTTCCAGGTTTGGAGCATAGCTCTGCACATAGTTGGGGAATGTATGGGTAGGTTCATTCATGTCTGGATACACCACCACTGTGGCATACACAATGTAGGCTGAAGCAGTTTAACCAATGCTATTTTTCAAGTGAGGCTATACATTTGAGTTTGCAAAAGATTTGTTTTTTTTTCCAGAATTTAAGATACCTGTAGTTCTTTTTTCTTTGATAAGAATAGTGGTTTTTATGGTGAGTCTGAAGGCTGTTTACATATAAATTGAAAGCACAGGCTAGGGATACAATTGGATACATTAAAACAAATAGGAAAGAGATTCAGGTCTCCAGTTTACAGAGTTTGAAAGGCCAAGAAGAAAGTAGGAAGTGTTAGTTTAATTATATAGATTCACATCTTAAAATAAGATCTGGAATCAGTGTGACTCAGCACAACAGTAAGTGTGAGATCCAGGTTAACAGGTATTCATTACACAGAGTGAGGGATTAGCAGAATACCTAAACTTTCTCAGGAAGGTTTGTTCCAAAAACCAAACAAACAGATCAGGTTTTTCATTCTCTGCCTCCAACAGTCATGCTACAGAGGTCATTTCAAGCATGATTTTAGCAAGACTACTCATGTTTAAATTTCAGGAAATATCCTGATGAACGGAGGGAGTTTTAAGGTAGTTGAAAACAAGAGACTGCTCTTTACCTTCACTGCCATTCCATTGACATCAGTTCCAGCAGATCCTACTGAAGCACATGCATTAGGAACTGTTGTTGTGTTTGTTTCACAAACGTGAATACTTGACATGGGGATATTTAGCTCCCGGCTGGCAACCTAGGGTGAAGATGAATGCATCCTCATTCTGTTTCAAAGACACTTTTCTGAACATCTCAACAGCAACTCCCCATCTCTCCCCAGCACCATGCCCAGGAAAAATGAGGTTATAGAGGTTACCATCCTAGGTTCACCCTCCTTCTCCCAATATCCACCCATATTGGTGTGCTTGAAAGACACAATGAAGAGAAGGTGATGGGCTTGTGGTTAAGACACTGGTCTGGAAATCTGACTTCAGCTTCTGACTCTCCTACAAACTCCCTGCATGACCTTGGGCAAATCAGTTAGTTCCAGATATTCAAAAAGTATTTATCCACCTCTATCCCACTGATTTAATAGATATCTTTGAGGATGTTGGGGTTTGTCTCTCTGGGCCTCACTTCTCCATCTGTAAAACAAGGATGATTATGATACTCCCCCTGTCTGTCTCATTGATTTAGACCAGAAGTGGGCAATTATTTGGGCTGGAGAGCCACTTGAGAACTTTTGGTGAGCTGTTGCAGGCTAGGGGGAGAGGAACAGTTGACCAGGACTGGTGCAGTGGGTGCTGGTGGGGGTGCTGATCCAGGATGGCATAGCGGAAGAGGGGTGGAAATTGATTCTAACCAGCCCGGGCCCAACCGCCCCACATTCACTGCAGAAAGCACTGGATGCTGGATGGAGAGGGCGAGCAGGATGGTAGGGGACATGGCATGCTCAGCTGGGCAGATGGGATGGGGCCACAGGTGGCAGGGAGTAGTATCTCGGAGCAGGATGGGCAAGCAGGGCTGGGGCTAAGATCAAAAAATCATGACAGCCCAGGGCAGGGCCCTGATCTACTCCCCACAACACAGAACTGGATCACAGCTCTGCCCTGGGCCCTGGTCCTGCACTATCATCACCGTGTGATCCTGCCCCCACTGCCTGGCCTTCTCCCAGAGGCTGCTCCCTGCTTGGTGGGCATCCTGACCAGTCTTCATGGAGACCCCACCTGCCCACCCACCTGCCTGCTCCATCTGACACCTCTGGTACAGGGTGCAGGGTGCACAGGCAGGGGGCTGAATCCAGCAGTGGTGGTTACACTGGCAGCAGATGCTAGAAGGAGCTGCCACTGCTGAGGCTATTGGGAAGCTGAGTCCAGTGCCACCCCATCCCCCACTACATGCCCAGGGGTGGTGGGACTGGCTGCAAGTGTCATGGACCAGGCTGCCCCCCATGCCTGGACTGGGTAGGGATTCTGCCACAGACTAGATAAAATCCCTTGGCAGGCCAAATTTGGCTTGCGGGCCATATTTTGCCCACCCATGATTTAGACAAGGGTGTCAAAAGATATGGCCTGCAGGCTGGATCCAACATGTGGAGCCAGTGTATCCAGTCTATGGGGCTTCCCACAGGGACAAAAATTTGTTGGCTGGATAATCAGTAGAAGCATTAATCGCTGTAGTTCCCAAGCCACAGTAACTGACACTGCTGCCGCTACTCCCACCACCAAATATCTGGCCCTATGGAGAACCCTGTTGGCCAGTTCCAGGGCAAAAAAGTTATGTTGTCTAGTCTGCAGGGCTGCCCACGTGGCCAGAAATTTGGCTGTGGAGGGAACAATGACTGCCACAGCTCCAGGAACCACAGCAGCTAACACTTCTGCCAACAAGTTTACAGCCCCATAGGCCAAGATGACATGGCTGTGCACTCCAGATGCAGCCCAAAGGGCCAGATATGTTTGACACCTCTAATTTAGACTGAATGTTTCCCTGGGCATCAACTGTCTTTTAAGACAGGTCTGTATGCTGACAAACCCAAAGGGATCTCTCCTACATCCCTCCCTGCTCTCTTTGTGACCCTCTTGGAAGCTGGTTGAGGGAGCAGCTATATGACTATGCAGATGCAAGCTTTTTGGCTTGAGCTTTTTTTCTCTGCTCCTCTGTTTGTGTAATTGGTAAGGGGTTATATTGGTAAAAAAATTGCTCATGACAGCTATTAGCCTAATTACACAAGAAGAAAAGCTCCTCAGTCTTGGCCTGTGTTACACAGAATGCAAAGGGCTAATATTTGAGTTCAGTTACCTGGATCATTTTGATATGGATGCCTTGTCCCATTTCAATTCCACCATGAGTCAGAAGCACTGACCCATCAGTATAGATATGAACCAGAGCAGCAGCCTAAAAAGAAAAACCAGGAAGAGACTATAGAGTGCTGTTCCTTCCCTATAACGTAATGGAAAGTGACTCTGTATTTATAATGAAGTAATACGTAAGAAAGTTAGTAGAAAATATACAACCTTGAAGGGGATTCTGATGTTATATAGGTATCTGTTGAAATTTCATGCTTCGGAATCATAGTCAACCTGAATTATAGCATTGGCTTTGCCTTTACATTAAACTTAGAATAGCTGATAGCAATTCTTGGTGTTCTTTCCCTGATCATACTAGCAACACAAGGAAAATGGCCTTAACATCACAGCCCAACAGGCTCCAAGAATGGCGGGAGGAGATTCAACCATGGATTCTTGTTCCAAGTTATCTATACACACTTCTGCAAATTTCCAAGCTTTGGACTGTTTAGGGAGCCATGATTTAGACAGGCTGAGAGGGCTTCTCCATATTAGCCATGTCCTAAATTAAGGTCTCTCCAAAACTCAACCAGAAGCTGCAACAGTGTAATAGTTCCTGACTTTGAAACTAGAGTAGAGATTGCTAGTGGAATGAGAGACATTAATATTCAGTTATAAAATTATACTCTACCAGACCTCCCCTACATTAAACAAACCACAGCTTATTAATGCTGATATAATAGCTCCCCCACCCTCTCTTCCCAACATCTGCAACCCATAACCTCTAAAGCAACATGTCTGAAAGAGCAGCCTTCTGCAGACCTGTTTCTAAATAGCCTTGAAAGAGTGCCACACTGAGGCATCTATATTGTTTCTTGTTCCCAAGCTTGCTCACTCAGACTGCATCCACATGAGCATAGACTTTTGGTTCCCTGGGTACAAACTGGCAGTGGGACACCTTGTGCTGCTGCTAGTTGTCCCTGGGGAATGCCTGTGCCATGCACCCTCTGGCACATGGCAGGTTATCTTGGGTGGGGTAGGAGAGGCTGGGCCCAGCACTGGGCTGCCCCCAGCAGCCTAACCTGGGATCCTAGGGGCCTCCTGGGGCTGCAGCAGCAGCGATCCTGCTGCTTGGAGCCTGGTCAGCAGCTGGAGCATGGCTCCAACCAACCAGGTTCTGGTTTTGAGCAGTGCATGCTACTCCCACGTGTGCTGCTCCGCCTTTTTTTTTTTGCATGCTTTTTTTTGACCCCAGGGGTTAACCCACTCCCCCCTGCACTGCTCCCTTGCAGCAGAGAGAACAATTGAACGTGTAGTATGTGGCACCACTGACTTGTCTGCAGTGCCAGATACTGCATGGCCACTCTCGTCTGGATGTGGCCTCAGAGTCTGCTCAGAGCTTCATCGTTAAGAGGGTGTGTTTACACAAGATGTTTACTGCAAAGCTGACTAATTAGCTCCACAGTAAAATGTCAGCCTCTTCAGGTGCAGCGTTATTAGGCCATAGTAAACTAATACACACCACCACAGGATAGTACTGCTCAACACAAATACTATCGTACAGCAGTGTTATTTAGTGTGCTGCAATGCACATGTAGATGCTGATGGGGTTAGCTGGGGCAGAAGGGTGCTTCGGTGTGGGGGCTGCCTGCCAGTTAGCCCTGCACTGAAGCACCCTCGTGCTCCAGCCTGCACTGAAGCACCCTCATGCCTGTCGCACGTTGAGCTGGGCTGGAGCAGCTCCAGGCTGGAAAGCTGATATCTGGGACTCCCTGTCAGCTAGGGCTGTTTCTGCCCCAGCCCAACACGCTGCGGTTCTGGGCACACATGCAAATGTGGCATCTGGGAGCAATAAACTTTGGCACAAATTATGCCGGAGTCTATTCAGTCGCATTAATTACATATGTAGGCATCGCCAAAACTACCCTTAGTATCCCTATACAGTGGTGTACTGAGCCATACAGACATACCAAGAGAAGCAATGCAGCCTCTATAAAATGGTTGTTATGAAAAAACAGTTTTCCACAAGGGATCCAAATGAATATGTTTCTTTGTGATATAAGCCAAACCAAACTTTCCAAGGGTGAAGCCATCAGCTCACTATACGAGGAAGTATTTTTAAAGGCAGCTTAAAGAAACTGACCTGACTAAGATAACGCGAGCCAAGTCCAAATGGAAACTTCATGGGAATTATGGCAATTCCTTTCTTCTTCCAGTAATTTTGTCTGTTAAATTCTTCCACAGCTTTTAGTCTTCTGTAGTATGCAGACTTCACCATACATTCATTCCAACACCTTATCAGGTTCTGGGGATCCAACTTTTGTTTGTAAGGTGTTTGTTCAATTTCTTTATACATGTTTATCTCCCTTACCTGAAAAAAGAACATTAGCAGAGATCCCAATAAAAAAACTAACCTGCGTTTTGGGCTAGTGGTCCAAAAGTCAGCATGAAAGGTTAGCTTTGGTATGATTTGTGGGACCATATTGTTCATTCTTGCAAGGATTTAGTCCTTAACTAAGAACTATTTAAGAATTTTATAAAAAAGATTAGAAATTTATATCCAAAGCACATTGCTTGCTAGTCTCATAGTTAAAGTAAAGTATTCTGCATCCAATTTGGAAACAAACAGAATATCACGTAACTTCAATGGACAATCTCAATAAAACAGGAATTCAGAAACAAAAAAATGTCAACATCAACACTTGGTGTCAACAAATGATTTGGTAAAGCAATTCAGTTAACTGAAAGGACCTTTTATTATACGGTCTGCCACTGAATAAACAGACTATATAGTACAAAGGAACCAACTCGGAAAGAAAATCTATCTTCCATTAACCTGCCAAAAACCCTTACTTTCTTACCTTTTCTGGTGACAAACCAGTTTTCTCTGCAACACTTGTTGTCCAGGATTCTGTAACCAGAGCTGACTGGGGGAAGCCAAATCCTCGGAAAGCTGTGTTTGATGGCAGGTTTGTCTTGCAAGCACAGCTCCAGCATCGCAGGTTGGGAATCTTGTAGGCGTTATCCATTCTTAGCAAGGCTACCTCTGTTACCTGCCATATGTGAACAGGCAGAAAATGTCAGAACAGGTCTTCTTTTAAAATTACCTTCACGTGGAAATTATGTTAATCCTTCTCCTATCAAAGAGAGGTATTAACTTAAGAAAATCAGGTATAGGATAAAAGTATTACAGGCAGTCCTCGACTTATGTTTCGAGTTACAACGTTTTGCACTTACAACGTTTATAAATTGACACCGTTTCAACTTTATGACATCCATTTCGACTTTACAACGCTTGATCAGATGCAACGCCTGTGACGGCCAGAACCAGAGGGATTAATAAGCAATAAATGTGTGCTTCTTGGAGGCATTTGGTATTTTGCCTAAACAGGTAATATTAGCTAATATAAAGCTTGTAAGTTTGTCACCTGCAAATGTAACTTGTCTGTCATAAGTTTAACCAAAATGATAAATTAACTGTTCATAGAACTGACTGGGCCCCATAGGCAAAGCTATAGTCTATGCGGGAGCTAGGAGCAGCAGGGAGAGGGAGGACGCAGGCACACGGGTGTCTTACACACGTGTGCCCCCTTACTGGACCCAGAGCGGAGGCGAGAGCAGCGACAGCAGCAGAGGAACAGAGCAGCAGCAGCTGATCTCCCTAAGGTAAGTGGGGCGGAGGGACCTACGCAGCTGAACCAGATCCGGAGGGGAAGCCCCCTGGATCCCTCTTAGCTGAGCCGGTAGGGAGCCGCGCTCCCGAGCTGTGCGAACAGAGCGCGCAAACAGGCATGGACTAGGGGGGACTGTCCCCCAAGCCAGGGAGCACCCCCGGGGTTAACCCTATGGGAGCGGGCTCCGGAAGTGCCGGATCCCCCCCAGCGGGGCAGTGCAGGGGGGCGGGATCGCCGGCAGGCACTTCTGGTGAGTCCGGAGTACCTGATTGGTTGTTAGGGCAGCGGCGG